AGTCATAGACTTTAGATCACGCAGGAACTGTGACTGCTAGTTCAGTTCAATTCAGGTACTGTTGAATCTTTCAAATGTGTTTATTGAGCTCCTTCTATGTGCAAGGCACTTTGCCAGGCTTTGGGGAGGCAGCAGGATGTAAGGTGTATGGACAGACGGAGGCCATACTGTCACGGAGCTTCTATTGTAGTTTTGCAGTAGACTTTTCTCCACTCTGCCTCCTGGTGTCTGAGTTACAGGGTGAGCCCTTATGAGCTTCTTGTGTGGTTCAAGGTCATGCTCATAGTTAATGGCAGAGCTTGAACTCATTATTAGCCCAAACTGACCTTGAACTCGCAACCCTCCTACCTCACCTCAGCCTGCTGATTGCAGTAATGGGATAAGTTTTTAAAAAAAGTTTGAAAGACATATACACAATAAAGTATTCATGCAGCATACAAATCTTCAGTGTAAAAAATTTAAAAACAAAAGTAAATTTTCATCCCACCTGCACCCCTGCTACCAAAATTATCTCCTTGTCCTCTCCCCAAGAGGGGCTTATGGTTATGAGTTTCTCTGTATCCTGTCAGAGTTGTGCCATGCATATACAGGCTCAAGTAACATCACTGTGTATGTAAAACCCCTCGCTTTTGCCCTCCACAAGTGGGAGTGTACATTCCTACCACCTCCTTGCTTCTGTGGAAGTCAGTGACTTTTTGGTTCTTGGTTCTCTAGTTGAGTTTTTACTCTACCCACAGATGCTTGGGGTGGAACCACTTGCTACTATCATACTAACTTAGCCATGATGAGTGGAAACCCCGAACACATTATTATTTGTCTTTTGTTGTTGGGAGTAGCTCCTGTACATTTATGGCCATAATCTGGGAGTTTGTGGATTGGGAACCTAGAAATATACTTCACTGTCATCAGTGATAATGTGCTGTTTTTCTTCTACAGCTTTGTTCTATGCAAAGAATATACTGAAACATTTATCAGTGTTACCCTTGCCTTTGCCAGCCCTTTGAGAAGTAAAAGAGCACCTGCCGCATCTGCTCTTTGCTGCAGAGAATCTCTGCAGGAATGGAGGCTCACGAAGACTTTGGAAACTCTTAGGATGACCTTGAAGGGGCTCGGGGGAAACAGACAGTGAATGCTTTCGGAGACATTATTGCCTGAAACTAAAATAAAGATGGAATTAATAGTTAGAACCAGGATTTTTATTTTTCTTAATTCATACCTTGAGATTTTGAGCACTGCTGACATTAAGTACCTTAAGTAAAAAAGTGCACTCTGGTGTGTACCTATTAACCTGCACTGCCAAGACGCCAACCTATACAGGCAGAACGTCTGCCAGACTGTGGTGACATATTTTTAGCCATGGTGACCTCTGGGCATGTAGCAGCATTCTGTTCAGTAGGGACAGGGACAAGAAAGTCCTCTAAAAAGAAGTTTGATATTTAAAGTAATGAGTAGTAATACATACACATTACCCCAAGACTTCAGTGTTAATGTTGCTGTTATAATCTTAACTCTTTCCATCAACAACTTTCCCCATTTATTTTATTTAAAAGTGTCCTAGAAAATTAACAGTCCTGTGGTTCTAAGGCCTGTGTCTTTTAATGAGATCAGAATACTCTACCACTGAGCCATACCCCCAGCTCTATAGGTGTACTTTTGATCTTCTCAGTAGCTGGGCTCTCTTAGATTACAGGTTATTAGGATCGTTTAACTATTCACATAACCACAATGACTTTCCCTGGGGAAAGCCCTCCAGCATTTCTAGTTTGCTCATTTCCATTCTGTTGCCCGCCACACTTCACCTTGTAGATGAGGAGGAGAGAAGTGAGGGTACCAGAAGATCTCAGTGATGCCTAGATGTTGCCATGGTGATCAGGTGGTAGTGTTTTTGGTGCAGGCTGACTGTGTGGTCTTTTGGGTCTGATCACCTGGGGTGAACTTCCTGCTTTTCTATTTTAATTGTGTGGTCCTGGGAAAGTTATTGGACCTGTAAGGCTCAGGTTCCTCCTATGAAAATGGGAATTGTTGCTGACTCATGGACTCACTGGGAAGGTTGAATTAATGAACCTGGAGTGCTTAACTTTTCAGTACCTGGCACTGAGAAAAACTTTGTAAATCCCAGTTACTGTTAATCACAGTGAATCCAATCCCAGGGATTCAGTTCCCTAGACAGCCATTCTTGAGCTTTGGGGCTTTCTTCTGTAATCAGAGTCTTTTACTTCTGTACTCTGAGGCTGTGAAGGGTGGGGTCTTGCTGGTTCCTGTGGTGGTCTCAAGCCAAGCCATCTTTTCTGCTGTCCTATTATATGTACTTGGCTTCTTTTTAATCTTTTCAGCAGTCAGCCTTTCCTCTGCTCCATCTTTGCTGGTATTTCCTTTCTTGAAAACCTGAAAACTTTTTAGATGGGCTTTTTGTTCCTGATTCTCATACCTCTCACTGAAAACAGCAAACAGTAACCATGCTACAGCCTGAATGTTGAGCTGCCTTAAAATACCCAGATTAGACTGCCATCTTTAATCCCAGTCTCCCCCAAAGTCTCAGAACACGAGCCCAATGTAAGCAAATTTTCTGTTAGGGTGTAACATACATAACCTCAAATCCAGCTGCCAATGGAGCCTTTCTTCCCAACTGAAATCTCTAGAGCCTGGTCTTTACCATCTATCTGTTTTTTAAAATCAGCATTCTGATCTTCTGAGCTGCAACACGAATCTCCCATCAGGCTCTGGTGTACAGTGTTTTAGGGCTTCTTCATTCAGCATCTCTAGACCTTTCCAAACTTCCCCTGTGAACCATTTCCAAAAGCTTGTATCATACGGTCATATAACATCAACAGCAGCCCCACTGTCTGGTACCGAAATCTATCTTAGTCACTTTTCTTATTCCTCTAAATAGGATGTTAAAACTCTGACTGTGATAAGAAATTACACCCCAGACCTGACATCTCTTCTTATTTTTCTCAATACAAAAATGCCAAGTTCTAAGAGAGGACAGAAAGAGGAGGCAAGAACAGGAAAATACCTAGTTTCCAGTAAATAGCCTAGTTTAAGGTTTTCCTGGAAAATTTTCACTTTATTACATTTTTTCTCTCAGGATCATTTTTATATTTCTTCATCTCTGGCCCTGTTAGCTTTTTCTGTGCTAGTATTTTTCATGTTTATTGATTCATTCCTGAAAGCAATCTCACATTTCATTGTGGTTAGCTAGATGGGACAAATTTGTGGTTTAGCCGTGTTGGGTTGTAAAAATGTAGAATAAGGAATTACGTTTATAACTAAAAACTTGATTTGTGCCATTTTTGGGGACAGTGTTTCATTTCTATTTTTAGCTAAGGGAATAATGATCTTTTAACTCCTTATGTTTGGAAAATCAGTTTGTCTCTGTTTCTGTGTCTTTGTCTCTGATCTCTCTTCTCTTGTAATCACTGGAGATCACTATGAATATTATGAATGACAGAAGAGGACAATATGGATGATGTTGGAGTATTTATCTTGAAGGTTGAACTATAAAATAAATGAAGAGTATAATCTTAAATTAAGAGCTATTAACTTTTTGGTACTTCATTTCCACAAGCTGGTTTCATCTTGGTGTTCCTGACATTTACAGGCACACACAGTGTTGGGAAGTCAGACCATGTTTGTTGCCCAGGCTTGTGTGGGTTCACCTAATGTGTGTGTATTTTGGAGAACAATGGTGGCTTGATAATTTTAGTCTTGCCCAGTCTTCATGAAAGTAAAAGGGCACAAAGCCACCAACTACATGAGTTGTTTATAAAAAGCCCTTAGGAGAGCAGGAAACTACAGTATTTTATAAGGTTGGGGCCGGGGATATAGCTCAGTGGCCTGTGTGTGCCTGTAAATGTCAAGCAACACCAAGATGAAACCAGCTTGCAGAAATGAAGTACCAAAAAGTTAATAGCTCTTAATTTAAGATTATACTCTTCATTTATTTTATAGTTCAACCTTCAAGATAAATACTCCAATATCATCCATATTATCCTTTTCTATCATTCATAATATTCATAGTGAATAGAATAGTTTTCAGACTGAAAACTTACAAGATATGAAGTTGCCTGAGGAATATTTTTATATATTTTATAGTTCCTATCATGATGCCAGCGAGCATGTGGATATAGCCTAAAAGGGAATGTTGTTGCTGCACTGGATACAGAACTGTTTGCTCAGTGGTATAAGGACCCGCCTGGCAAGCACAAGGTCCTGAGTTCGATTGCCGGTAACAAAAAACAAAAACAAAAAACCAAGGTTGGCAGCTTTATGTGTAATGCACTGTAAATGTAGACATAACAAGGACCAGTTGTCACAAAGATGTAAAAACAACACAAAATCCTTGAGGTTCAGTGGAGAGCTGAGCGCTGGTAATACGTATGCCCCAGAAGGAGTAGAGTGCTTGCTTAGTGTGTGTCCAATCCCAGCACTGCAAGAATTCTCAAAAGACAAGGGAGATCTCATACTGAACATTATATCCTTGTGTTCTTGCCCAGTGAAATCCAACCAAGACCCAAGCATCTCAAATGGGTAGAGACCCAAGGTTAACCCCATTTGGTGTGGCTGTGCAAAGACGTCCTACCTGACACATACAAGGTTCCTTGTGACTGAGATTGTCACGCTGGAGCTCATTATGTGACAGAATGTAGCGGAGGAGTTCAAGAGCATGTTTTCCTGGAGAAGTGCTACAGGACTCACCAGGAGAATGGCCACCATCTTAGAAGCACATGTCACCTTAGAAGCCACCTTAGATGCCCGCCGGCTCCTGTGGTTCTCAAACTCTTATTATTGTTTGTTTGTTTGATCCTTTTGGAACTGTGGTAATTAAATTTCCATTGACTGAATTCTAGAAGAAGTGCATTGTGGGGGGAAGGACGAGGTGGGGTGGGGTGGGATAGGGGAAGTTGGATTTCAGTTCTTTGTCTTTAAAAATTCAGGTGGATCAATACGTAATGTTTCCCTCTTGTGAAAGCTTCATCTTCTTTTGTTTTCTCTTGCAGTGGGGACTTTATCTGAAGAGTTCTAAGAGACTGAAAACTTACAAGATACGAAGTTGCCTGAGGAATATTTTTATATATTTTATAGTTCCTATCATGATGCCAGCGAGCATGCGGATATAGCCTAAAAGGGAATGTTGTTGCTGCACTGGATACAGAACTGTTTGCTTTGAGAAGAGTTTTAGTTTTAAAAAGTCGGTGAAAAATTTATTACATTTCTAGAAAAGGAAAACATTCATTTTTTTTTATCTTGTCAACCATCCCCGGCCACCACCCTTCCCCTGGTGCCCACCCCTGGTCTTGGTGTCCACCCTGTGGTTTTCCCCTTAGGACCACTCTGTAATGTACAGTGGAATTGTGTGTGTACAGTCTGAGCTTGTGTGTGTGTGTGTGTGTGTGTGTGTGTTGCTTACATCCCATTTTTATATTTGTTGTTAGTGATCTTCCTGCATAGTTTGGCTGTTATAAAAGGTGAATCTTTTATGGCAAAAGGTCCCTGAAAATAGTCTAACCTAGCACTGAGAAACTGAGCCCTCAAAGATCATAAAGTCACATGGGGCCAGATGTTAGATTTTGGGTCCCTGGACCAAGAACTCGGCATTCACTCCTGTTACCACCACGCTGCTCCTCGGGTATTTACACAATATTGAAGGACTTTTCTGTCTTGATTTTTGTTTTAATTTGAGCTGATCAATTGTTTTCTTACTCCATGGAGTAAAGGGGTAAAATGGCTTAAATTCACTAAAAAAATAGTATGATAAACTGGGCTCAAAACAAAACTACCCTACGTCTCATGCAGCACAGGCCCATGCGACCTCTGCATGTTTTCTTCATGCAGCTGCTTTTCATCTCCTAACTGATGCTTGGTCTTTAAGACACTTAGTGGCTTCTTTCCATGCAGGCCTGGAAATACTGATTCTCTCTCTCTCTCCTCTCTCTTTCCCCTCCATCTGTCCCTTTCTGTCTCTGTGTCTGTCTCTCTTTCTCTCTCCAGCTTTACACTTTATAAAAGACCTGAGAGAACACAGAGGCAAAAGATAGTATTTTTGATAGATCTGGGGCTGGGGGTCAGGGAATCTGCAAGACTGGCCTCCGGCTCCATGTCAGTGTTGGTCATGTGCCTTGGATACTTCGTTTATTTCAAAGAGAAAAAGCACCTTTCTCATTTGGCTTCTGGAAAAAGGATCTCCATAAAAATATACTTCAAAGTGTTTACCATAAACATATGTTTTTGACTCTGTTTCTGGCATCAAACTAAAAATATATGACCTTTTCAATGAATGGTAGATTCAGTGTCATGTGATTGCTTACTGACCACTAATAAATAGCGTCTGTGCATAGGTTCATTTACATGGCGGAACAGAAGTCAGTGTAGGAGTCAGTTTCACTGCAGTCCAGAAAGTACCAGTCTAGGAATCTGAGGGGTGTGTACTAGTGTAAATAATTTATATGCCATCGAGGCCACTTGTTTTTCTTTAAAAATAAACAAAAAACCCCATAATTTTTGGCTTAACATATTCATATACTCTGCCCTCTAAATGTTGAGGGATAAAATGTAAGATATTCTTCAGCTTTAATTATTTTTTTAATTTTATTCAACTCAGAGCACTTTTTATAGCAATACAGCTGCCAAGAGAATACTCAAAAATATTTAAAATTGTATTTATACCAAGCGTACATTTTAAATATTTTCTCATACTTGAGCAGTTTTTGCCTGGCTGGCTTCCAAATATGCCGAAAGTTAAGCATTCAATATTTTGAACACATAAGCTTTTTACTGGTTTGTACTATCTGATGAGAATTCTTAAATATTCCCAAAGCAACTGATGTTTACAGCTCATGTGTTTTTCCTCCTTCTCAGAAGGGTCAGGGATCCACAATGGACTCACTGTACAAAACACTAATGACAGATACAGCTTTGTGGTGGAATAAATGTGTTGGCTACCACCTTGATGTAAAAAATTTGTAAAGGAAATTTTTCAGTGTTTTGAGTGTTACATGTATTTTTAACTGTCTGGTTTGTACTTTTACAACTTTTGTACTACCAAAGCAGAGTTAAAAATTAAAAAAACCTTAAACACAGTGCATTGTTTTGTATGATTCGTTTGTTGGTGCCTTGTGTTCCAAAAATACCATTGCAACAGGGTGGAGCTTAATCTTGCAGGGCTAATTTCTTGTGTATTGATTTAGGAAGTCATCCTTTGACTGATACTCACTGGATTTTCCCTCCTGTAGTACCTCTACCCCCCTATAATTATTTTTTAAATTTGGAAATAATTTTGGTCAAAGAGAAGAGTTGCAAAAAGAACACTTCATGTATACCCTTTACTTTATTTCCTTTTATGCTAATGTTTTATATAACCATAGAGCAATTGATTAATTTTTTTTTTTTTTTTTGTACCAGGAGTTGAACTCATGACCTCAGCCTTGCCAGGCAAGTGCTTATGCCACTGAGCAACATTCCCGGCAGAGCAATTGATTAAAACTAAGAAATTAACATGGGTTCATTGCTCACTTTGGCAGCAAATATTACTAAATTTGGAATGTTGGTTCAGTACTGTTAACTAAAAAAACAACTTATTTGGATCTCACCTTTTTTTGATTCTTGTCTTAACACCTGTTTCTGATTCCCGGACCCCCATTGCCCTGGTTTGTTGAATGTTTTCAGTCTCTTATGATCTTTGTTGTCAGGACTGCTCTTATGCCTCATGATCTTGACCCTTTATGGGACTGGCTTGGTTCTTTTGTAGAATACCTGCAGCTTCGGCTTCCCTGTTCCTTTTTGTGATAGAAGCTGCGTTAGGGACAGTGTACCAGAGGGTGCTGTGTCACATCTGCGGAACGTGACAGTGACGTGTGTCACCTAGTGCTGTCCAGCAAGTGTCACTTTGGTAAATTTACTATTTTTTCCCCTTTGTAATTAAAAAATATTCTAGAGGTGATACTTCGAGATTAGACAACTATCCTATCTGCATTCAAACTTTCAGTCTGAAAGTTTACTATCTCTGATTTTCCTAGGGCTCCCATGAACAAAGTACCCAAACCTGGGTGACCTAAAAACAAAAGTTCATTCCTTCACAGTTCCAGAGGCCATTCTCTCCTTTTCACATATGCCGGTCTGGAATCCAGCTGTCTCCAGGCTGGTTCCTTCTGAAATCTCTGAAGGAGAGTCCAGTCCAAGCCTCCTCCTGACTTCCGGTGGCTGTCAGAAGTGCTTGGAATTCCTTGGATTTCAGCTACTTCACTTCCAGTTCTCCACCTGTCTGTACATGGCCTCCTCCCTGTGGTATGTCTCTGTCTTCTCTTGTCCTTTTAAGGGCACTTCTCATTGGAGTCAGGGCCCATTGTAATCCAGTGTGACTTACGTTTTGCCATATAGGGTCTATTTCCCAATAGGGTCACATTCGCAGGTCCTAGGAGTTAGGACTTTGATATCCACATGCCTTCTGACTAGACAGTTCAGCAGCTCACTACACCGTCTAGCACTGGTGGACCTTGCCTACAGCAGGTATCACTGTGATAGGAACACTTCAGGCCCCTGCCTTTGTCCTTTGATGTGAGTCCATTCTTTTCTTTTTCTCCCTGACCCCCTTTCCCTTACTCTATTTCTTTCTAGCACCTCAAGATGCTCCAGGCTGATCTTTGCTATGTGTTCCTCGCCACAGCTCTGGAACCAACAACAAATCCAGGGAACCCTGATGCCTTTTATTAGAGAACGATGTTCAAAAGTAAAAGATAAGGGATGTGCTCGTTGATACTAGGTGACTCAGCTTCTAGCCCTCCTTGTGTACACACACACACACACACACACACACACACACACACACACACATGTTCTGGTGTTTCTGCATCTTAAACCAAAGCCTGAAATGTACTGATACCTCTGACTCCAATCTTGTCCCTTGGGATTCGCTTTAATCTTAGCACTTTCCTTATTTATATTTTTTCCTCCTATGGTAAGAAAACCTGGCTCTTATTACCTACAGTATTTTTATGTGTGTGTTCAACTCTAGTGTCATGGTTCAAATCTGAACCGTCCCCAAAAAGTCTCATGTGTGGTGAAGGGGATTGGCTCTGGGGGGCGCTATACTCATCAACTGGCTCACCCAGTGATGAGTTCTGTAGTTGATTTGCTTTGAGGAGGGGAAGAGGTGGGTTACTGGGGGCATGACGTGAAAGGGTGTATTCTTGTCCCTGGCTCCTCTCTCTGTCTCTGTCTCTGTCTCTCTTTTTTTTGGTACTGGGAATCGAACTCATGACCTCAGGCTTGCCAGGCAAACGTTTCTGCAGCTGAGCTACATTCCTGGCCCCGTGTCTGCCTCTGTCTGTCTCTTTGTGTCTCTGTGTCTGTTTTGTCTCTTCTCTCTCTGCTTTCTGACCACCATGACTTGAGCACATTTTCCTCTTCCAGCCTCTCAGCCCTCAGCCCCTCGTGTTTCTGCCTTAGAGACAGCCAACTGCACACTGAAACCGTTAGCCAAAATAAACTTTAAGTTGTGACTAGTGTTTTGTCCCAGCTACGGAAAGTGATTCGCATATCTAGACTGTATGTCTGAAAACACACTGCTTTATCAGAACTGTGCAGGCATACTTGTCTCTGTGTTCTAACCTGCAGGTATCCAGTCCCAACTGCTAACGTGACATTACCTCTTCAGTGGAGTTATTTGATTCCTTTGTAAAACAAGTCATTTGTCACTGCAATACAACGTTCATATCATGTTTTTCAATGTATATTTAGCAAACTTCACTCTTCGTGGTGTCTCATCGAATTTTGATTTGGAAATGTGTGTGTGTGTGTGTGTGTGTGTGTGTGTGTGTGTGTGTGTAACTGGAAAAGCTGATATATTTTTGCCCCATAATGTAGAACATGAGCACCAGAGAGGATGTTAGAAATCCCTCATTTCTTTGTTGAAAGAGGTCCACTGTTCTCACAGATGCAGACAAGGGGTGATGAATCAATGGCTGTCACCTGCTCAGCTCCTTGGGGGAGCAGGGAGCTACTGAGAATGTCGCAGAGGACACATGCTCACGGGCAATGCAGACCTGGGCTACTGGTTCTGCACCTCCCAACACCGGCGTGCTGGCAGCCTGGTGACTCTGCGGGGCACTGTCCCTTGCCTTGTGGGGTCCGCTCCTGGCTGCCTTCCCAGGTCCGTCTGCATAGCCAGGCTGCTCTGCTCTAGGTCCCCAAAACAGGGCCTCCTGCCCACACAGCTGAGTGATGGGGGCTTGGAGCCGGGTCACACAATTTAGTGCTTGTTGCTGAGTGTTTGGCTGTGATCAAAGATGATGCCTTGTATCTGGGGTCCCACTTGCCAGTTCTGGCATCCTCTGACCTTTGTTTTTGGTGGATCAGGTTGGATTTTACCCAAGGATTCTCTCCTTTTCGCATACCCAGCACCGTCCTGCAGGACTGTTATCAGATCTCCCCGGGCAGTCCCTCGTTGTGTCTACAAGACCTGAAAAGACACCTACGAAAAGACACCCAGGTCTGCGCTGCCTGTGAGCATGTGTCCTCTTTGTCCGGCAACGTCGGGCTGGCCAGGTGGCATTCTTGTCCACCGGGTTTAGTGGCTGTCCGGACATCATCCACCTTGCACAAAGAGACACCTTGCCCCATCTGCTGGTTGAGAGTGAGAACTGCAGGGAGATGGCTTGGCCATTTGTTGGTGATGCTGTCTTTTTTCAGGTGTTGCTAAAAGTATCCCTGTTTCTTTAATAAACAAATAATCAATCAATCAATCAATCAATCAATCAATCAATAAATTCTACCTGTAATCATGAAGGAATACCATTAGTTAGTCATTTTATGAGAATAAAATGTCAAGTTTGGCTTTTCAAACCCATTTTCTGACCCTGCCAGGTTATCTTTATTGCTTTTCTCATTAGAAGCCTCAGTTTCTTACCTGGGGGCTATGTCCCCGTGGGTGCTTTGAAGAATGACTGCACTCTGTTTCAGAGGAGGCTCTGCTCCATGAATCTGTTCACGGAAGTGATGTGACCATTGGAAGACCTCTCATCTCAGAGAAGTAGCCCAGTGTTTGCTGTTGAATTTGAAACCCAGCTCCTCTCTTCACTACTGTGGGAAATCCGCCTTATCTTTCTGAGCCTGAGTGTCTTCCTCTGCAAATGACCCATCTCATAGAGGTTTCAAAGATTGGAAAAATTCATGCAAAGTCACAGTGCCTGCCATCATCTCCATATCCCCCTTTGGAAGGCATCTCCATTGGAAGTTGTCATCAGTGACATGTGTTGCTATAATAAAATACCTGGGGCTGGTATTTTTTAGGGAAAAGAGGTTTACTTTGGCCTGTGCTTTTAGAGACTGAAATGTCCAAGCTGGGGAAGCCACATCAGGTAAAGGCTTCATGCTGTGTCATATTAACATGGCAAGGGGCATCCTATGGCAGGAGCATAAGCCAGAGTGGCAAGTGAGCTTGAATGAAGTAGGAAAATGCCAAGGGTGACCTTGTTTTATAACAACCTGCTCTCCAGGTAACCAATACACTCCTAGAAAACCCAATCTGCTACTAAGAGAAGCAATCCTTTCTCAAGAGATTCAACAGTCTCTCAAGAAAGGCTCCATTTATGTGGGTGGAGCCCCTCTGACCTAATTATCTCTTAATGCCCCCTACTCCTCAACACTGTTATACTGGAAATAAAACTTTAGCATGGGTTTCAACCATAGTACTTGGTAATAGGTCTGTGCATCTGTCCCTCTACAGCTGGTCAAAGTGTGCAGTGAGAGTCCAGCACATTAGCTTTGACTAGATATCTGGCTGAGCTAGCAAGTCTCTTGCTCTGAACACAGCCAGTTAGCATCGGAGGTCATCATAGTTGAGTCACAAGTGGAGGAGGGTCCACATTCTGAGGAGGCACAGGCCAAGGCTAGAAGGAAGACCTGAGGATGGAGAGGCAGGGTGTCCAGAGGACTGCTGAGACGCCATCAGCCCACACTATCCCTTCTGGAAGCTTCTCTCCTTCCTCCTAGACTGCTGCTGGGTGCCCTGCTCCCCTGACCATAACTGGACATGACCAGGGCGAGCATACAGCTCAACTGCAGTGTGGCTTCAAGGAGCTCC